CCTCCTCCTCCTCCCCCTCCCCTCCCCCTCCCCCTCCTCCTCCTCCCCCCTCCCCCTCCTCCTCCTCCTCCTCCTCCCTCTCCTCTCTCCTCCTCCTCCTCCTCCTCCTCCTCCTCCTCCTCCTCCTCCTCCTCCTCCCTCCTCCTCTCCTCCTCCTCCTCCTCCTCCTCCTCCTCCTCCTCCTCCTCCTCCTCCTCCTCCTCCCCCTCCCTCTCCTGCATCCCTGTCCCTTGTAGATAGCTTCCTCCTGCCAAGCCCCCAAGACGTGTCGATCTACGCCAGGCCAGGCCGGACGTTTTCGCCTCAGACTTTCTCGCCAGCTGTGGCCCCCTGAAGCCTGAGATCTGCAGCAGCTCAAGGAGGAGGAGGAGGAGGAGGAGGAGGAGGAGGAGGAGGAGGAGGCTGGAGGAGGGCGAAGAGGATGAGGAGGAGGATGAGGCTGGAGGAGAGAGAAGAGGAGGATGAGGAGGAGGAGGAGGGAGGAGAGGAGGCTGGAGGAGAGGGAAGAGGAGCACACGCCGGTTCCAACACGTGGCTCCCGCCTCAGCGCCGAGCATGGTCCTAAACGTTCGCAGCAATGGTTCAGGGATGGAGGCTGGTTTCTTTCCTAAAAATAGTTCTCAGCCCATCGCCGAGGACATCCGTCTGAAATGTTCGCAGCAGTTTCAAGGATTCGTGTAGTTGGCGTCCCAAGAACGGTGTTCTGACACGATTTCGGATTGTCAGGACGCAACAACGTTGATTCGCCGTAATGAAGTCCCAAGAACTGCGCTCTGGAACGATGTAGGATTGTTAGAGCGCAACAGTCACATTGATTCGCGGCGATGCAGTCCCAGGAATGGTTTTTTGAACCTATTGAAAATTATTGTACGGTTGCCTTTCAATTGGGCACATCCCGCAATGACGAAACAATATTGTACGGAATCATCCTCCTCCTCCTCCTCCTCCTCCTCCTCCTCCTCCTCCCCCTTCCCCGTCCTCAGCAGCAGCGGGAGCAGGATGCAGAGGCGCAGCCTCCCTCCTGCGAGCGCCTGCCGCCCGCCATCGAAGGGCAGGTGGGAACATATTCGGTTCATTGCTATGTGTCGTCAGCCCTCCCCCCACTCTGCACACTCCCCCTTCGCTGCTCCTCCATCCTCCTGCTCCTTTTCGATCCCCCCTCGTCCTCAACCCATCCTCCCTGGTCGCACGACCAACCATAATCGGGAGGGCGGGCCAAGCGGTCTGCACGGGATGTCCTTACAATGTATGTTCCGAAAACCCCTAAACCAAACAATTACACTGGTGAAGGGTACATGAGTTCCGAAATGTGATCATCAATCACCTTATTGCCGCACCATATTCGTTAAACGACAGGCTAGCACCAGTCTCACGCATGGAGCACGGCTCGTGTCCAAGATGCGGCTCTCGCCTTAGTGATTGCTGAAAGGTCTGCACCGGTCTTACGGATGGAGGACAGGTAGCTTTCAACATGTGGCTCTCACCCTGGGGCAGCGCACACTCGCCCCGAGGGTCGGCAGCTGCACGGATGAAGATGGCTCCTTCTTGGACGGGCGTTGTGAGGAGAACCCCTGGGGGCTCGCGAAGCAGCTCGAGACCCAATGTACGTCGGATTCACGCTGGATTTTTGGAGGCCTGGAACTTGGCACCAACACCAACCCAGGGGGTTGCCTCCACAGGGGGAAGATGAGCCTAGATTTCGGTGTTGGTGGCAATATTTCGGTCACCTTGGAAGCCAGAATATTACCACCACCACCGAGGTCGGGATCTTCTTCCCTCGGCGGAGGCACACCGCCGATATTGGTGTTGGTGTCATACTCTAGGCCTGCGAGATTTACGTCAGGCGCTCGCGGGGTTCACGTCGGACGCACCTCGCAGCATCGCCGCGCGAGCGTCGTCCGAGACCTCGCGGGGCGGGCGTGCGGACCTGACGACCAAATCATTGCGCGCCGCGCGAGGCCTTTCGGATGTTCCTAAGAGCTGGTGGTCTCGTCCTCCTCGTCCTCCTCCTCCTCCTCCTCCTCCCTTCTCCCTCCTCCCTTCTCCCTCCTCCCTCCTCCCTCCTCCCTCCTTCCCCTCCTCCTCCTCCTCCTCCTCCTCCTCCTCCTCCTCCTCCTCCTCCTCCTCATCTTGATACCCTCTCCCATGCTTTGGCCCGAAGCTTGGGACAGTGAGCCAACGTCATGCACGTGAAGGGCGCCCCTTGTTTGGGATGGAGGCCTCGCTTGAGACTGGACCGCACTGCACGACGCGGCACTGGAGCCCCAATGCGTGCAGCTTCTTCACGGGTGGAGGGCGACTCTTCTTCAAGATTGGGATCTCGCTACAAGGAAGCCGGAAAAAGTGGAAGTTGGAAAGTCAGTGTGAAAGTGGAAGTGGCCAGGGCTGGCAAATCTGGCCGTGGGTGAAACGAGCCTGAAACTGAAACAGCAGGGATGCGGTCGCCAGGGCTGAAAAAATATAGGGAGACTGGCCAGGGCTGGCCAGAGTGGAAGGGCTG